CAACAAGTGCCTTAATGAGAAGCGTCGTCGAGAGCAGGAGAACACGTACATCGAGGAGCTGGCAGAATTAATCCAAGCCAGCATCGCCTCTGACATGAGCTCGCTCTCTGTCAAGCCGGACAAGTGCGCCATCCTGCAGCAGACGGTCAACCAGGTACGTCCCCCTCCCTCCCTCCCTCCTCCCTCCCCCTCCCCCCATATCTACCTATGCTTCCTACATCATCATCATCATCATCCACCATCATCATCGTCATCATCATCGTCATCGTCATCGTCATCGTCATTCTCAGCATCCCCCTCTCCCTCCATTCCTCCACCTCCTCCCCCCTCCCCCCCTCCTTTTCCCTTCATCCTCCCCCTCCTCCCCCTTCTCCTCCTCCTCCTTCTCCTCCTCCTCCTTCTCCTCCTCCTCCTCCTCCTCCTCCTCCTCCTCCTCCTCCTCTTCCTCCTTCTCCTCCTCCTCCTCCTCCTCCTACACCTCCTCATATTCCGCCCCATCTCCTCCTCATCTTCCTCCCCATCTCCTCCTCCTCCTCTTCCTCCCCTTCTCCTCCTCCCCATCTCCTCCTCTTCCCCCTCCCCCTCCCCCTCCCCCCCTACCCTTCAGCTTTCACTCATAACAACCGATCGTCCTCACCGGGGGACCGAAGGCCAGGACACTCCGTCTACCGCTGCGCGTGACCCTCTGTGCGGAAATCCAGGTGCATGTAAGGAGGCGCCTCGACGCACGTCTCCTGCCCCTCTGGCCATCACCTTCCTCGCCGAGCCAGTCTCCTACCTGCCGGTCGGATCCTGGCGGCTGTCCCGAAGGATTACGCGTGGTAGCCGTCGCTGCCATCCCCTTCCCCCGCCCCAGCCCTTGCTCATACGCCTCCCAGAGGAAGGGAAGGGTGTCGAAAGGACTTCGCAAACCGGTTATTCATTCTCTCTCTCTCTCTCTCTCTCTCTCTCTCTCTCTCTCTCTCTCTCTCTCTCTCTCTCTCTCTCTCTCTCTCTCTCTCTCTCTCTCTCTCTCTCTCTCTTTCTCTCTCTTTCTCTTTCTCTTTCACTTTATATATTCGTTTTCCTCCCTTCCTTCCTTCCTTCCTTTCTTTCCGCCTGCTTACCTGCCTGCCTGCTTGTCTGCCTACCTGCATGCCTGCCTGCCTGTCTGCCTTTCTTTCTTCCTCAACTCTGCTTCCTGCACTCCGTGAGAAACTATTAAGGTAAACCGAGGTAACTGCGTGCGGGTGAGACATCACGTGTGTTCACTTTATTTCTTTGCTTCGGAATATTTTGTCTTCTTCAGTATTTTGTTGTATCTCCATGTATTTGGTCAGAGTGTCTCAATTATTCATTCTTCGGCTTGAGAGAAAATTAGCTTCAGTGCGTGTATTTGTGAACAAAAAAATATTACCTTTGGAAATTATGGGACTTGGGCGTACAAGCATCGCACGATCAGTTGCACCCGAGACGAAACCTCGGTGTTGCGACTTTACAAGGCAAAATAACACCCTCCTTAGCACGTCGAGCCACCTCCCGCAGTCGGGGCGAGGGAGCGAGGGGATCTGGACGGACATCAAGCACTGCGTTAAGGTGTAATTGTGTCCACCTGTTGCACCATCCTCGCTCCCTCCCGCGCCCGCCCGGCCGCTGCTGCCTCCCGCGGCTCGGCCGTCCATCTTCCGCTGCGTCTGGGAAACCGCGGGAGAGGTCTGTGAAAAAAGTATTCGGGAGAAATGTCTTTTCTCCGTTTTAGCTCCACCTCCCCGTGCCTCCAGTTTTCGCGTCTCCTCCGATCCGCTTTAACTAACAATTAGAAATTTTATGCATTCCTTGGGTAAAAAAGGGGTTGCGTGGAAATGGCAGATTCTTTTTAATTGCTATACGTCAGGGAATCTATAAATGCGTCGTCACCCGATCGTTTTGTCACGACAGCAGATCGTAGATGACTTGCGCGCATTCCGAGGATGCGAACATGATGTCACGTATTGGACTGGTTTCAAGCGCACGGGCAACATCGTTCGGAACGAAATTTAAATGCCATTTAGACCTTGGTTCAGAGGAGCTTGCGCACTTAACGTTTATCTGGGAATTTTTTTAATACATTTAAATCAAATAGATTTGCATTTTCATTAAAACATTATTTATAGCATAATATTTACATGGAATCTGATTGGCGGTGGCCATGGAATACGCACACTGTGGTTGTGACGTTCTTATCACTAGATCACTTCTTCTCACCATGTTTGTTTGTCATATTTTTAGATATACAAACTAAACAGATTAAGGTATAGATAAATATCATTTACAAAGTGATTTGGCGCAACTGGTATTCAAAGCCATGCCACCAGCGCATTCTAATAAAATAAACCGTGTGGCTAATATGCACGCGGAAATGGCAGGCTTGCGCACGCGTTGTAACTGTGATGCACACGGACTTTTCTTCGTATGACTTGGTTGAAATAACAAGCGGGATGCATTTTTTTCTCTGCAGACGTTTCATTATTGTGCATCAAATATAGAGTTGCTAACAAGGCCTTGCTACGACATACATTCCATGCATAATTTATCCCCTGTAAATTCAAACTGAATCGTGTTCGAGCCGATTTCTGCGTGTTCGCGTGCAGCATCACTCCCCCTCCTTCCGCCGTTCCCTCCCCGGGCTGTGTTCTTGGCTCGAGCGCTGCCGTTCTGAGCGAGGCGATGGAGGCGCTCGTCCTCGCGAGAAGGATTCCGCACACGCGAGACCTGGAGCTGGCGGCGAGAACTGAGAGCGCTGCTGGCGTTCGTGGGGGGGGAGGCGTGGTATTAAAAGGCAGGTGTGTGCTTGTCTCTCCGATGTGTACGGTGCTTGGGAGGCCGCGTGCAGTAATGTTCACTACAATTAGGGATGATTTGAGAGTATCTCGTTTCTTTTATGGTAGTGGCAGCTTTTGTGGAAGACTAGCTTGTTCTTTGTATGTGGTCGTTCTTATGCAAGGTAAAGCATGATTTCTGTTCCTCATTTCGTTCCAATATTGGCTTTTCATGAGATAAACTGTGGGAAGTATGCTCACGGTCTTGTTCCGAGATACGGCCTGTTGAGCAGTTAAGGCCACGAAGACGAAAACCCGCCAGTAGCGAAGAGTAAGAACCCGGAGAGGCTTAACGTGGGCACTTTCACCTTCAACGCACAGCGGGCAGGTGGCGCACGAGGAACACGGATGCGCCCTGTTCCAGCAGTACCCACAATGACCTCTCTTTGCCGTTTGTACACAGCCGAGAGATTGAGCTCCGCCAGCGAAATCAGTACTGCCATATGGAAATGAGTGGACATTGAGTGAGTGCGGGGAGAGAGCAGTCGCATTGGTGGATAAGCATCAAAATATGAGGGGAGAGGGTTCGTCGCACAGTGCGTGGCCAGCAAAGTGTGAGGGGAGGGCGAGGAGGCCGGCAAGCACGTGAGAGCACAAAACCTTGGCCTAGTCACCCATTTCCGGGGTAGTGGAGTGTCTGCCTCGCGCATGCCTTGCCTCCTGATACCTCTCGCTGGGCATGGCTGCCTCGACGCACTTACATAAGAGGGTCATATAATGCGCTCTCGATTTGAAAGGATATGTTTAGGAAGGGCAGGTTTATATGCGAACTGAATAATCAGACTCGCTAAATGGCCATCAGATTCGGCGGGTGTGATTTTTGTAAACACTAATCCGTCTTCAAGTTTGGGTTTTAGCGTTATTTGTTTGCATTAGAATTCAGTATTGCCAATGACAGTATCTTGCGCAGCAACGGGAAGGGCTGCCTGTGTCCCAGTAGAATTCAAGTTGCATTATAACACGCCTTCACGTTACCTAACCAGAGGTAGACATGGCATTGCTGTTGGTTTTACACTTCCTCATGAATGGTCATGTTTCAAACGAAGGTGAAAGTTGCACCAGAGCTTCTTCTGGCCATGGCGCCTAGTAGATAGCACAGTTCTAGCGCAGACGAAGAAACTGTCACAGTGGTTTATCTATCATTTCAGCAAAATAGTGTTTGCGTTTTTGACCAGTACATTGCATGACAGATGCATGTAACTCACACTTGGCAAAGTTTATGGTCTGTTGGCCCTTAGAGGATACATATAGCAGTTGATGTTTAAATAACCTTCATAGTGCCAGAAGATGTACAAAGAGTGCCTTGATGTCTAGATACTGCAGCACAGTTATTAGGAAAGGCAAATGGCACACATTAACGGCCTGTATGAAGAGGCGAATGAAGAAAGTTGAGATGGAGGAGGGCAGCGGGAAGCGATTTCAAAATAGGCAGCGGTAGGGAGAGTCGGCGAAGGAAGTTACGAGAAGAAGAAGAAGAAGAAGAAGAAGAAGAAGAAGAAGAAGAAGAAGAAGAAGAAGAAGAAGAAGAAGAAGAAGAAGAAGAAGAAGAAGAAGAAAGGAGTGGGAGTAGGAGTAGTGTGATGTTGGCTTGGTGACCTTGTGAGCGGTGGTCGCCCCGAGCCGTCAGCTCAAAGCAAGGACACGCTGTCTGTTGTAACTGCCTTCTTCTAACGTGCACCCACTTACCTCTATCCTTTGTATTTCCTCGTTTTATACGGTTTTGGAAGATTAAAAACATTTGATAAATGACGATTCTTCTTTTGGCACCGTTCGTCTTCCTCGATCTGCCACTTGCCTCGTATCGTGTTTTCCATGGAGCTTTTTTCACTTCTTCCCACGGGCGCGCTTCCTCCGTCCCGCCCTCTCCATCCTCCCTTCTGCATCCACCTTCGCCTCTTTCTCTGTCATTCCACGTTACATCCAGATATTCCTCCTATAATCTTTACCTATCGTGGGGGAGCTCAAAAGCCCATCTGTAGCCCCGCGACGCCCTGGTACGTCATAACAGACACTAGCAAGACGCTGTTGCCCTTATTGTTTCCCACCGTTTATGCAAGCCAACAAGTGCCTCGTCAAGATAAAAGGCAGAGTGGTACTGGGCCCTTTTTTTCGTAGTCTGTTTGGGTGTTTGAGGAAAGACAAAGAGAAATATAGAAAAAAGAGGGAGGGAGATAGAGGGAGAGGGAGAGGGAGAGGGAGAGGGAGAGGGAGAGGGAGAGGGAGAGGGAGAGAGAGAGAGAGAGAGAGAGAGAGAGAGAGAGAGAGAGAGAGAGAGAGAGAGAGAGAGAGAGAGAGAGAGAGAAAGAGAGAAAGAGAG